TTGAATTGAGGCCTATGAAATGCAAAACGGCTGTGAAACACTTGCTAAACACTGGAAGAAATGGCCAAAAGGAAGAAGAATTTGCCGGAAAGGCGTTACACACAATTTTTCCAGATGCAGTGGTACGGAACGCGCGGCTTTTGAAACGTGGCCTATGAAATGCAAAACTGCTGTGAAAAGCATTTGCTAAACACTGGAAGAAAGGGCCAAAAACAAAAAGAACTTGCCGGAAAGGCGTTACAAGCAATTTTCCAAATGCAGTGGTACGGACTCTGCGGCTTTTGAATTGTGGCCTATGAAATGCAAAACGGCTGTGAAACACTTGCTAAACACTGGAAGAAATGGCCAAAAAGAAGAAGAATTTGCCGGAAAGGCTTTACAAACAATTTTCCAAATGCAGTGGTACGGACTCTGCGGCTTTTGAATCATGGCCTATGAAATGCAAAACTGCTGTGAAGCACTTGCTAAACACTGGAAGAAACTTGCTAAACACTGGAAGAAATGGCCCAAAACAAGAAGAATTTGCCGGAAAGGCTTTGCAAACAATTTTCCAAATGCAGTGGTACGGAACGCACGGCTTTTCAATCGTGGCCTATGTAGTGCAAAGCTGCTGTGAAAAGCACTTGCTAAACACTGGGAGAAATGGCCAACAAGAAGAAGAATTTGCCGGAAAGGCTTTACAAACAATTTTCCGAATGCAGTGGTACGGAACGCACGGCTTTCGAATTATGGCCTTTGGATTGCAAAACTGCTGTGAAGCACTTGCTGAACGCTGGACGAAATGTCCAAAAAAAGAAGAATTTGCCGGAAAGGCTTTACAAGCAATTTTCCAAACGCAGTGGTACGGACTGTGCGGCTTTTGAATCGTGGCCTGGTGACAGCAATGCCGCTCACTGGTGGAGGACGCTGCCGACCATAAAACGATTGTTGTTACGTCTTGGGCAGTAAATTTTGCAATGTCTGTTGCTTAGGATGAAGAATGAAGAGTTGCAAGAGAATGCCGGCAGTGATGGTGACCATTTAGCCTCGCATGTGCCGGAAGCAGTTTTCACAGAAACCCCCCTTCCCCCCATACAATGGCCAAGCTTGGTTCAACAAGAGCGACACGGAATGCTGGGCTTGCTGCTCCAAGCTTGGTTCAACAAGAGCGACACGGAATGCTGGGCTTGCTGCTCCAAGCTTGGTTCAACAAGAGCGACACGGAATGCTGGGCTTGCTGCTCCAAGCTTGGTTCAACAAGAGCGACACGGAATGCTGGGCTTGCTGCTCCAAGCTTGGTTCAACAAGAGCGACACGGAATGCTGGGCTTGCTGCTCCAAGCTTGGTTCAACAAGAGCGACACGGAATGCTGGGCTTGCTGCTCCAAGCTTGGTTCAACAAGAGCGACACGGAATGCTGGGCTTGCTGCTCCAAGCTTGGTTCAACAAGAGCGACACGGAATGCTGGGCTTGCTGCTCCAAGCTTGGTTCAACAAGAGCGACACGGAATGCTGGGCTTGCTGCTCCAAGCTTGGTTCAACAAGAGCGACACGGAATGCTGGGCTTGCTGCTCCAAGCTTGGTTCAACAAGAGCGACACGGAATGCTGGGCTTGCTGCTCCAAGCTTGGTTCAACAAGAGCGACACGGAATGCTGGGCTTGCTGCTCCAAGCTTGGTTCAACAAGAGCGACACGGAATGCTGGGCTTGCTGCTCCAAGCTTGGTTCAACAAGAGCGACACGGAATGCTGGGCTTGCTGCTCCAAGCTTGGTTCAACAAGAGCGACACGGAATGCTGGGCTTGCTGCTCCAAGCTTGGTTCAACAAGAGCGACACGGAATGCTGGGCTTGCTGCTCCAAGCTTGGTTCAACAAGAGCGACACGGAATGCTGGGCTTGCTGCTCCAAGCTTGGTTCAACAAGAGCGACACGGAATGCTGGGCTTGCTGCTCCAAGCTTGGTTCAACAAGAGCGACACGGAATGCTGGGCTTGCTGCTCCAAGCTTGGTTCAACAAGAGCGACACGGAATGCTGGGCTTGCTGCTCCAAGCTTGGTTCAACAAGAGCGACACGGAATGCTGGGCTTGCTGCTCCAAGCTTGGTTCAACAAGAGCGACACGGAATGCTGGGCTTGCTGCTCCAAGCTTGGTTCAACAAGAGCGACACGGAATGCTGGGCTTGCTGCTCCAAGCTTGGTTCAACAAGAGCGACACGGAATGCTGGGCTTGCTGCTCCAAGCTTGGTTCAACAAGAGCGACACGGAATGCTGGGCTTGCTGCTCCAAGCTTGGTTCAACAAGAGCGACACGGAATGCTGGGCTTGCTGCTCCAAGCTTGGTTCAACAAGAGCGACACGGAATGCTGGGCTTGCTGCTCCAAGCTTGGTTCAACAAGAGCGACACGGAATGCTGGGCTTGCTGCTCCAAGCTTGGTTCAACAAGAGCGACACGGAATGCTGGGCTTGCTGCTCCAAGCTTGGTTCAACAAGAGCGACACGGAATGCTGGGCTTGCTGCTCCAAGCTTGGTTCAACAAGAGCGACACGGAATGCTGGGCTTGCTGCTCCAAGCTTGGTTCAACAAGAGCGACACGGAATGCTGGGCTTGCTGCTCCAAGCTTGGTTCAACAAGAGCGACACGGAATGCTGGGCTTGCTGCTCCAAGCTTGGTTCAACAAGAGCGACACGGAATGCTGGGCTTGCTGCTCCAAGCTTGGTTCAACAAGAGCGACACGGAATGCTGGGCTTGCTGCTCCAAGCTTGGTTCAACAAGAGCGACACGGAATGCTGGGCTTGCTGCTCCAAGCTTGGTTCAACAAGAGCGACACGGAATGCTGGGCTTGCTGCTCCAAGCTTGGTTCAACAAGAGCGACACGGAATGCTGGGCTTGCTGCTCCAAGCTTGGTTCAACAAGAGCGACACGGAATGCTGGGCTTGCTGCTCCAAGCTTGGTTCAACAAGAGCGACACGGAATGCTGGGCTTGCTGCTCCAATTGCGGTATCTGCTTATTGTAACCTTTGTAATTCCCAAAAGCCCGGACTAAGGTCCGCGCTTGCTTTGCCGAGAAAACCGTGGTCCGCGGTAGGTTTGTCGGTTAAATGCTCGGGTCCGCGCAGGTCCGCGCCGGTTTGGTCGAGAAAACTATGGTCTGCAGTAGACTTCTTAGCCAAATGCTCAGCTCCGTGCAGGTCCGCGCTTGCTTTGCCGCGAAAACCGGTCCGTGCTGGGTTTCTGGGCTAAAATGCTCGTGTTCCACAGCTGAGAAGACCGTGCGAACGGTTTCTGAGCTAAAGGCTTGGGTCCGCGCAGGTCCGCCCCGGGTTTGCCAACAAAACCGCAGGTCCGCGCCGGTTTTGCCGAGAAAACCGTGCTAGGTTTCTGAGCTACATGCTTGCGCCCGCGCACGTCCGCGCCGGGTTTGCCGAGAAAACCGTGCCAGGTTTCTGAGCTAAATGCTTCGGTTCGCGCCGGTTTTGCCAAGAAAACCGTGCCAGGTTTCTGAGCTAAAAGCTTGGGTCCGCGCAGGTCCGCGCCAGGTTTGCCGAGAAAATCGTGCTAGGTCTCTGTGGTTGGCCGGTAGCTTTGAGGTCTGCAGTGCTCGGCTTTTAGGGCCTGAGGGCGCAGCAGTCTGAAGTCATCCCCTCGCTCTGCTCCCTAAACCTCGACACCCGAGCGGGCAGTCCAAGCTTCCAAGCCATGGGGTCTTTAGCCGCAAATCCTAGGGCCTTAGGGCTCAGCAGTTGAAGTCATCCCCTCAGCTCTGCTCCCTAAACCTTGAAAGCCGAGCGGGCAGTCCAAGCTACCAAGACCAAGCCATTTGGGGCAGTAGCCGCCAGGATTCTGCACGGCTACCATGGAGGCCGTCTTGTTGCGCAGACGGGTTTGCAGTTCTGGGCAGAGTGCTTTTTGCGGTGCAAGCTCGCGCGGGGGAGAGCTTTTTTGTGCTGGGTTTTTTCTGTAAGCAAAGGTTTGCGCTGTATGCTTTGCATTTTTAGTGTGGTGAGTGAAGAAGCAAAAGGTTTGTGCTGTATGGTTTGCAGTTTCAGTAAGGCAAATGAGTGGGCGTGCAGCTCTCTGCGCAGGTGTTGGCGAGAGCGCCATGTCGTTGCACAGCCGGGTTCGCAGCTCGAATGCGTTTGCCTTGCTCTGGGAGCTTTGTGCACGTGTGTGCCTGTGTGCAAAGCCTTGTGGACGAGCGTTTGGGCTCCGGCTCCGGCTCACCTTGCTTAGTAGGCGCTTTCCCCTCTCTTTGCAGCTGCCATGGACGCTAACGCTGTGCCCAGCTTGGGGGACAGACTCGCTGCTCTCAAGGCCGATCGGGCCCGCTTGCTGCGTGAAAAAGCTGAAAAAAGCAAAGAAATCCGAACAACTCAAAAGCGCTTCAAGAGATTGAAGAAGGCGGCCGCGAAGTTGAGCCAGGCAGACTTGGTGGAGTTGCTCCGTGTCAAGGAAGCGCAGGTTCGTCAAGCAGCTCCGAAGGCCAAGGCCGCAGCGGCGCCTCCGCTTTGAAGCCTGCACCTTCTTCCTTCTCCGACTGAGCAGGGGTACGCCTGTGCAACCGGCGGCGTTCACAAAGGAATGTCAGTGGCTGGTAGTACAGGCGTAGTGCCGTTTCACACCTGTGTGTTTCCAAGTGTTTCAAGGCCTCGAAGAGGCTTGGTGCGGCGTTCCATTCGCTACGAATGCAGGTCGCCGTTTTCTTGGCTTGTCTCACCGTCTCGCGTTGCCCACGAGTGTGTACAGAACGGACCTCCTGAAACGAGCAGGATGGTGATATGAGGGCCCAAAACAAGGGCCGTAAACGCTTCCTGGAATGGGTGTTGCAGGCTGGCCCTCCAGCGTTGCTGTCCTTACTTGTGTGCCTCTCATGCTGTTGGCTTTCACACAAACTGTTGCTGCTCTTACTTGTGTGCCTCTCATGCTGTTAGTTGTGTTTTCACACAAATGTACGACCGGAGCAAGTTTGGCAGTCAAAGTTTCCTCGCGAAGTGAGAGAGATGTTGCTGCCAGTGGCCGCTGCCCTGAATCATGGATGCGTTGGCCTGTGTGCGTCGTGAAATCCGGCGCTTACAAGAGCAGCAGCGGCGTGCCCGCTGTGTGCAAGCGCGCTTGGGCTTGACAAGAACAGATCGTCTGGTGGCCGTGGGATGTTACACTCAGAGCAATTACAACCTCCCTTTGGCGATTACTTTTGTTAAGCAACGTGCCCCGACATCGTGGCTGCCGTCCACAGACACGGAACTTGGCGAAGTGCTGGAAAACTGGTTTCTGGAAACGCCTGAGGCCACCATTGTGGCATTCGAGTATCCAGAAACCCGCGCGCAGAAGCAGCTGCGCTCACGTGTGGAAAAGTTTTTGGCAGAGTGCGCAACTGTCAGTTTCATCAAAACGTGCAATTTCACGAATGGCTACGCCCCAAGCTCGAGTGAAGTCGCATCACAGTTTGTCGAGACCTTGCGAGGACGCGAGGAGCTGGCGACCCACCAAGGCTTGGAACATGCTTCGCGCTGGCAGCGACATTGGTGCTCTCGGTTTCGTGGTCGCTGGGGGCTTCGCCTCCGAAGTCTTGGGCCACATCGCGACTCCGAAACGGATCTTCGTGCCAAGGCCAGGCTTGAAAGGCTGCAGCTGCTTGTCCGGCAATGTGTTGTGTGAGAACACAGTTCGTTGTTTGCTTGTTTGTCTGCTGCTGGTTTGTTTCGTGCATGGCTTGTTTTGACTAGTGTAGCGTCGTTCATGAAGTGCATGTCCGCATGCTTACTCTGCTCCCGTCACCTGTAGCCAACTCCAGACACATGACGGTGGCCGCCGGCCTCCGAGCCCGCTTTTGGGGTCATTTTCTGACCCTTTTTTCGGGGTCATTTTCTGGCCCCTTTTCGGTGGCATTTTGAGTGCGGTGTCGACTGCCGCATGTGGAAAGGGCCCCACTCGTGGCCAGTTTTCGGGCCCAAGTTCCGTTCAGGTTTTGACCCCTGTTTCGGGGCCCGAGAAATTGTCGCGTCTTGTCCGCTGACCTTCAGGTGAGCGGCTTCTGGGAATGGTGCTTGCACCTCAGGCAGACGGCGGCATCTTATGGACGCGAACCCATCTTCATCAACATTGATGAGTCCTCGATGCCTCAGTTTTGCAAAGCCAAGCGAGGGGTTTGCATCCGGCGTTCTGATTGGCCTGCTGGAAAAGTACCCTGTGGGCCTCGGAAGCCGCCCCGCAACACGGCGACACTGCTGGCCATGATATCAAGCGAAGGCACGCTGCAGAAGTGCCTCCCTCAAATCCTCATTGAATGAGGCAACGAGCGGTGCTTGCCGCGACGGTTGCTATTGAGTGCCCAAACAGCGTCAGCAGCCACAACTGTACAGTATTGGCGGCGGAAGTCTTCGTGGGTTAATGGCCCGGTCATGGTTCAGGCTCTGGAGGAGTTGGCCAAGGCGCTGGGACCACTGCGCCTGTCGGACAGCAAGCAGATTGTCATCGTATGGGATTGCTGCCGCGTTCACTTGACAGAAGAAGTTTTGACAGCATGTAAAAGGTTGCATTTTTGGCTTCTTTTTGTGCCAACGCACATTACATCTCTTCTGCAGCCGCTGGACACCTGTGTTTTCGGCCCGCTAAAGCAACGAATGCGACGACGGTACGCAGAAGCCATGCGCGGCAGCGGCTGCGTCTCAGTGGCGCAGTGGCTACAGCTCTTGCAAGAAGTGACAGTGACGATGCTATCAGAACGAAGCTGGCAGAAGTCATTTCGTTCGGTAGGCATCTCCGGCTCAGCGCCTCTCAGCGCAGACCTCCAGCATTTGGGCATCGAGTACCCGTTGCCAGAGCCTGGACGTGTGCTTTCTTTGACAAAGCTTCTGCCCCCGGGCAGCGACAGCAAGTGTGAGTTGTTGTTGAACTGTCCCAGGGTGCGTTTCCTGACCTAGCTTCCTGCAAAGCAGAAGGAGCCAGCAGAATCCGCAATTGTCGAAAGGAGGGTGCGAACGTTCGTAAGTCGAGGGCAATCTTGAACTAAGCAAGCTGTTGTTTTGAAGGGGTGAGGCAAACTCCAGTGTGGCGAAGACTTCACTCCGCGAGCTCAATGAAGCTTCGAAGGCGGGGTGTTTTTCATTTTGCTTTCTAGGAAACTCCACGTATTTTATCATGATTTGCTTTATCAAATTTGATGCTCATGAGTTTTCACATCGTGTTGCGCTGTATTCCGAAAGCGTCTTCGAGCATTCAAAACATTTGCATGTATAGAGAGATTTTTCTTGGGAGGTGTATTTATTTTGGGATTTTTTTTTTTGGGGCATTTTTTTTTTTGGCTTGTGTGCGCGCTTGGCTTCTTGGCTTCTGGCTTCTTGGATTCCCTGGCTTCTGGGCTTTTGGCTTCTCGGCTTCCCTGGCTTCTTGGCTTCTGGCTTCTTGGCTTTTCGGCTTCTTGGCTTTTTCACTTCGCAACTTCTTATACTGTCTAGCTTCGAGAATACTGCCTCCTTATGTCGTACAACAACGCGTCAGGGTGGTTTAATGCGAAGAAAACACAATCAGTCGTGAAGGGTTGAAAGGGTTTGTAAATACAACAACGCGTCAGGGTGGCTTAATGCGAAGTAAACACAATCAATCGTGAAGGGTTTAAAAGGTTTGCAAATGGGGGGGGCCAACCCCCCCGCTTTTTTTAGGCTAAACTTCCCGCTCACTAAAAAGCCGCGAAGAGATGCACAAAAACGTATTCGCCAAAGCACAAGAAGAAGAAAGCCAGACAACAACGCGTCAGGGTGGTTTAATGCGAAGTAAACACAATCAATCGTGAAGGGTTTAAAAGGTTTGCAGGCTGCGCCCCCCCTCAACCCCCCCGCTTTTTTTAGACTAAACTCCCCGCTCACTAGCACGAAGAGATGCACAAAAACGTACTCGCCAACACAGTAGAAGGAGAAAGCCAGACAACAACGCGTCAGGGTGGTTTAATGCGAAGACAACACAATCAGTCGTGAGGGGTTTAAAGGGTTTGTAAATACAACAAAGCGTCAGGGTGGTTGAATGCGAAGTAAACACAATCAATCGTGAAGGGTTTAAAAGGTTTGGAAATGGGGGGGGCTGCGGGGGGCGCGCTCCCCCCAACCCCCCCGCTTTTTTTAGACTAAACTCCCCGCTCACTAAAGGCACGAAGAGATGCACAAAAACGTATTCGCCAAAACACAAGAAGGAGAAGTCCAGACAACAACGCGTCAGGGTGGTTTGATGCGAAGAAAACACAATCAATCGTGAAGGATTTAAAAGGTTTGCAACTGGGGGGGTGGCTGCGCCCCCCCCAACCCCCCCGCTTTGTTTAGGCTAAACTCCCCGCTCACTAAAAAGCCGCGAAGAAATGCACAAAAACGTATTCGCCAAAACACAAGAAGAAGAAAGCCAGACAAGAACGCGCCAGGGTGGTTTAATGCGAAGTAAACACAATCAATCGTGAAGGGTTTAAAAGGTTTGCAGGCTGCGCCCCCCCAAGCCCCCCCGCTTTTTTTTTGGCTAAACTCCCCGCTCACTGGCACGAAGAGATGCACAAAAACGTATTCGCCAACACAGAAGAAGGAGAAAGCCAGACAACAACGCGTCAGGGTGGTTTAATGCGAAGAAAACAGGGTGGTTGAATGCGAAGTAAACACAATCAATCGTGAAGGGTTTAAAAGGTTTGGAAATGGGGGGGGCTGCGCCCCCCCAACCCCCCCGCTTTTTTTAGACTAAACTCCCCGCTCACTAAAGGCACGAAGAGATGCACAAAAACGTATTCGCCAAAACACAAGAAGGAGAAGTCCAGACAACAACGCGTCAGGGTGGTTTGATGCGAAGAAAACACAATCAATCGTGAAGGATTTAAAAGGTTTGCAACTGGAGGGGTGGCTGCGCCCCCCCCAACCCCCCCGCTTTCTTTAGGCTAAACTCCCCGCTCACTAAAAAGCCGCGAAGAAATGCACAAAAACGTATTCGCCAAAACACAAGAAGAAGAAAGCCAGACAAGAACGCGCCAGGGTGGTTTAATGCGAAGTAAACACAATCAATCGTGAAGGGTTTAAAAGGTTTGCAGGCTGCGCCCCCCCCAACCCCCCCGCTTTTTTTAGACTAAACTCCCCGCTCACTAGCACGAAGAGATGCACAAAAACGTATTCGCCAACACAGTAGAAGGAGAAAGCCAGACAACAACGCGTCAGGGTGGTTTAATGCGAAGACAACACAATCAGTCGTGAGGGGTTTAAAGGGTTTGTAAATACAACAAAGCGTCAGGGTGGTTGAATGCGAAGTAAACACAATCAATCGTGAAGGGTTTAAAAGGTTTGGAAATGGGGGGGGCTGCGCCCCCCCCAACCCCCCCGCTTTTTTTAGACTAAACTCCCCGCTCACTAAAAAGCGCGAAGAGATGCACAAAAACGTATTCGCCAAAACACAAGAAGGAGAAGTCCAGACAACAACGCGTCAGGGTGGTTTAATGCGAAGTAAACACAATCAATCGTGAAGGGTTTAAAAGGTTTGCAGGCTGCGCCCCCCCCAACCCCCCCGCTTTTTTTAGACTAAACTCCCCGCTCACTAGCACGAAGAGATGCACAAAAACGTATTCGCCAACACAGTAGAAGGAGAAAGCCAGACAACAACGCGTCAGGGTGGTTTAATGCGAAGACAACACAATCAGTCGTGAGGGGTTTAAAGGGTTTGTAAATACAACAAAGCGTCAGGGTGGTTGAATGCGAAGTAAACACAATCAATCGTGAAGGGTTTAAAAGGTTTGGAAATGGGGGGGGCTGCGCCCCCCCCAACCCCCCCGCTTTTTTTAGACTAAACTCCCCGCTCACTAAAGGCACGAAGAGATGCACAAAAACGTATTCGCCAAAACACAAGAAGGAGAAGTCCAGACAACAACGCGTCAGGGTGGTTTGATGCGAAGAAAACACAATCAATCGTGAAGGATTTAAAAGGTTTGCAACTGGGGGGGTGGCTGCGCCCCCCCCAACCCCCCCGCTTTGTTTAGGCTAAACTCCCCGCTCACTAAAAAGCCGCGAAGAAATGCACAAAAACGTATTCGCCAAAACACAAGAAGAAGAAAGCCAGACAAGAACGCGCCAGGGTGGTTTAATGCGAAGTAAACACAATCAATCGTGAAGGGTTTAAAAGGTTTGCAGGCTGCGCCCCCCCAAGCCCCCCCGCTTTTTTTTGGCTAAACTCCCCGCTCACTGGCACGAAGAGATGCACAAAAACGTATTCGCCAACACAGAAGAAGGAGAAAGCCAGACAACAACGCGTCAGGGTGGTTTAATGCGAAGAAAACAGGGTGGTTGAATGCGAAGTAAACACAATCAATCGTGAAGGGTTTAAAAAAAAGCCCCCCCCCAACCCCCCCGCTTTTTTTAGACTAAACTCCCCACTCACTAAAGGCACGAAGAGATGCACAAAAACGTATTCGCCAAAACACAAGAAGGAGAAGTCCAGACAACAACGCGTCAGGGTGGTTTGATGCGAAGAAAACACAATCAATCGTGAAGGATTTAAAAGGTTTGCAACTGGGGGGGTGGCTGCGCCCCCCCCAACCCCCCCGCTTTGTTTAGGCTAAACTCCCCGCTCACTAAAAAGCCGCGAAGAAATGCACAAAAACGTATTCGCCAAAACACAAGAAGAAGAAAGCCAGACAAGAACGCGCCAGGGTGGTTTAATGCGAAGTAAACACAATCAATCGTGAAGGGTTTAAAAGGTTTGCAGGCTGCGCCCCCCCAAGCCCCCCCGCTTTTTTTTGGCTAAACTCCCCGCTCACTGGCACGAAGAGATGCACAAAAACGTATTCGCCAACACAGAAGAAGGAGAAAGCCAGACAACAACGCGTCAGGGTGGTTTAATGCGAAGAAAACACAGTCAGTCGTGAAGGGTTTAAAGGGTTTGTAAATACAACAAAGCGTCAGGGTGGCTTAATGCGAAGTAAACACAATCAATCGTGAAGGGTTTAAAAGGTTTGCAAATGGGGGGGGCTGCGCCCCCCCCCAACCCCCCCGCTTTTTTAGACTAAACTCCCCGCTCACTAAAGGCACGAAAGATGCACAAAAACGTATTCGCCAAAACACAAGAAGGAGAAGTCCAGACAACAACGCGTCAGGGTGGTTTGATGCGAAGAAAACACAATCAATCGTGAAGGATTTAAAAGGTTTGCAAAGGGGGGAGGTCCCCGATGAACCCTCCACAGGGATACTGCGTGTCGAAGCGCCGGCGCTGTGGCGCGGTGCAAATTTTCAACGTCCCCGATGAAGCTTCCACAGGGATCCTGCGTGTCGAAGCGCTGGCGCTGTGGTGCGGTGCAAATTTTCTACGTTCCCGATGAACCCTCCACAGGGATCCTGCGTGTCGAAGCGCTGGCGCTGTGGCGCGGCGCAAATTTTGTGTGTCCCCGATGAACCCTTCACAGGGATCCTGCGTGTCGAAGCGCTGGCGCTGTGGTGCGGTGCAAATTTTCTACGTTCCCGATGAACCTTCCACAGGGATCCTGCGTGTCGAAGCGCTGGCGCTGTGGCGCGGCGCAAATTTTGTGTGTCCCCGATGAACCCTTCGCAGGGATCCTGCGTGTCGAAGCGCTGGCGCTGTGGTGCGGTGCAAATTTTCTACGTTCCCGATGAACCCTCCACAGGGATCCTGCGTGTCGAAGCGCTGGCGCTGTGGCGCGGTGCAAATTTTCTGTGTCCCCGATGAACCCTTCACAGGGATCCTGCGTGTCGAACCTGAACAGAACGCTAAACCCTGCAAGGCAATGCAACACGGCCAAGCAAACCACCAAAAAAAAAAAAATGCACAAAAAAAAAAAATCCCAAACTAATTCCAGACCCTTTTTCTTGCATGCGCAGCGGAGGAACGGAGCACGTTTGAACGTTCAACAGAGGAGATGCCTGCAAGGTTCACAGTGTCATTGTTTTCAGACGGACAA